TGTGTGTGTGTGTGTGTGTGTGTGTGTGTGTGTGTGTGTGTGTGTGTGTGTGCATATATGTAGGGGCGAGGAAGAATGTTAAGGAGACTTACACCATCGATTACTTTTCCTCTTCTTCCCGTTAAACAAAGTACAGGACGATATAATAATATAATATACTCAAGACTTGCTGACTGTTACATGATTGATGCTGATCGATAATATTCATTATATAATACACTTAACATTTAAATGATGACAGCAAGACATTTTAAATACGCAATAGAGACAATGACCTTTTTCACAGTTCATGAAACATTTGTCAAACGAGTGTTAAATAAATATTGCCTTCCTTCTGCTTCTTCAAACATCTGAATACTTTTTTTTGCATTTTAAAATCGAAAAGAAAACAAAACATTACTCTCTCAAACTGCTTCAACCAATTACAGTTAATTGAATTTAACCCTTAGCTCTCCAAACCAGCAAAGCTCAGCAACACCCCCGCGCAGGCTATTAGAGTTAATTAAATCCTCTCTCAAGATTTTTTTCCAAATAGTGCCAAGAAAAGGCTTAAAATTAAAACAATACAAAACAAAATTTTAAAAAGGGAAAAAGAACACAAGCCAGCGCGTAAAGATGCCACGGGTTTGTAGACACGTTCAAAAGCAAATAACTCAAGTCCGAAAAGAGTTTTGTTTATGATCGATCGTTTAAGTAATTCTACCGTGAGGGGATATGTTTCGAACTGTTTGTTGTAGAAATACAAGAGCGATTCTAGAGTTGATTGAATGTTCATCGCAGATAGTGTAAATATGTTTTCTTTCTTTCTTGTTCTTGTTCTTGTTCTTGTTCTTCTTCTTCTTCTTGTTCTTCTTCTTCTTCTTCTTCTTCTTCTTCTCCTCTAACTCTTTTTGAAATTTAGCACACAGGCACACATACAAACACATACACATTATTGCACGTCACACTCACAGACACGCACACACACATACACATAAACATACGACACACACTCACACACATGCACACATACACACACACACACACACACACACACATACACTCACACACACACACACACGCACGCACGCACACTCGCCACACCTTTACATCTGGACCTATTATTATTAACTCTCCCCATACTTGTATTATTCTGCTGTGTGTTTGACCTTCTGCCCCTACGATCACTGTGAGCCCACGGGCTCGAACCCCCGACGCCTCAGATCTGAGCACCAGAGCTACCTCAGACTTTGTGTTTGTACATAGATCACTTGCGAACTGATGAATTGCCTCTACACAATGCTCACCCTATTCCGCGCACTCATGGTTTTATTTGCTGTTCATCTGGTTGGGCGCTGATAATCAATGTCGCGTCTTGTGTGTCAATTGTTTTACGTCATAGCTGTCATTTCTTTGGTGGACAGCATGGACTTGCTTGCCAGCCTTTGGCTCTCATGCCATAGATGGAGAGTTTGAATTTGCTTCACCGCCAACGACTGTCTTGTCATTGGGGGAAATCGCGGACGTGCTTGCCTGCCATTGGTCCATCGTGTTTTATTGTTGTGTTGTTGTAACTCATTTTGGCATAAAGAACAAGTAAGTGAAATCATGCAGCAATAACCTTAGGACCTATATGTATATTTATAGCTCATTATTCCCACAGAGGGAGATTGTTGTTTTTGTCGTCGTCGTTGGTGTTGTTCTTGTTGTTGCCGTCGATATTTTGTCCGTACTGAGTCGAAGTGCAGTTGTTTATTCAAGAGGATTACTATATGATTCAGTACCTGGATGATTTGGGCATTCGGACTGTCGATTTGTCTCGATTTTTTTACTCCAGACTTGCGGTTGTAAAGCGTCGGGATATATAACTTTCACCGTAGCTGACGCCATTCTGTTCCTTTTGTTTCCCACTCATTTTCTTCACAGTTCGAGTTTTTATAGCTCTGAATCTCTGGCTTCTCAGAAATAAACACTAAACGTCTGCAAAACTCGTTTTCCTTAACGTCTACTGGAGGGCTGCAGTTCCAAGGTCAATGGCGTAGAGGCATTAACAAAATGATGTATCCTCTACTTCGATATCTGGAAAATAAAAATGAGGGCCCCTGGCTTGTTCTCGGTATAGGGACTTTGTATGCTTTTCATGTTGGGCGGTCCGCAAACCAGACGTAAGTAAGTCCAGTTTTTTGTTGTTTTTACAGAACCGTCAACAAGTTCGAGAAGTTTCAGGCATCGTCACAGGATTTTGGGATCAGCATAGTGATTGGTGTTTTAAAAGTCTGTTGCCCTTAGTAATGTAAATTCCTGGTGTGTGATATACGAAACTGAAATGCCCTTTTATGTGTAATTTTCATTGCGATTAATTATTTTGTTTCGTTTATACCATCTTTTGAAATCCGATTTTTTTTGCTTGTCCATGTCTCCGCCATGTGCAGACGTCGCTTCCATTGTTGCTTCCGGTGTGTGTCAAAGGTCACGTGTCCACGCCTGCAATATATGTGTGACGTCTCCTGCTGAGGATCGCAAAGAACATATCTTGGTCATAATTTTCTCATAATACTGAGGCTGCAAACTATTTGCTATATATGTGAACATACTATGTAGAAGCGTCATATTCCATGTACATGTACATCTTTTTTTTTTCGATTTCTTTTATGTTGATGATTACGTTTTCACACGGGCGTTTTCCAGTCCCGAAAACTGTGGTAGTGATTTGTAGTAGCATACTTTTGTATATAGATATACTTTGTCAGATGTGCATATTATAATACCACTGTAGCTTTATTTAAGTAAGTACATGTTGAACTGAACAGCTGGTTTACGTACGAACGTACGGTAATGCGTGTGTTTTTGTGGCGTTATGACGGATGAGAAAGAGAGAACAGAATGAGGGCGAACTCTACTTAATGTTAAGCTTTTCCTGATACCGATATGTCAACGATATGGCAATGATAGGGCAGCGATGTGTTAGCAAAATGGCTGACGCTAGCTTTTAAGTTTTAGACTCAAGCCCAAGCGGCGTTAATCGTCTGCTTTTTTCGGCTAAAGTTATCATACGAGAGAGGGGAGGATGAACATTGTATTCAGGGAGGCCACATGATCAGCCAGCAAGACATGACATAGCTTTTGCCTCCCAATTGCCAGATCTTGACAGTTTTATTCAGTTTTATACATTATCTAGCTTGTATAAAACTCCATAGAGTGTCTTGTGTGTGTTCCAGGTGGCAACATATTACTGTATTTCCTGTACAATGTTTTTTTTTTTTTTATAGTACGCTGAAAGTATACCAGTACGATCACAACTCGGTTTGTCGCAATAGGTTTAGATCGACATGAAATATAAATTGTTGGGTGTGCTGGTACAATTTGTTTTATCAGATTTATCAAACACGATTTTTTTCTTTCGTGTGAGAGATTATGATGTATCGTGCAATTGTCATGTCATATAAAAAATGTCTGAATGATCGTTGACACAAATCTTCTGCTGCTATCCTCATGGTTGTGATTGGCCGAGTGGTCAACAGCATACGTCATCCGCCGGCCCGCGCACAGAGACGGGAGGTTTGTCTGACGTGGGTAGACAGACGGGACTTCATTGTTGTTGTGTATTGACAAACGTGGGTGTGCTGGGCCATACAAGCTATGTCCATCTGCCTGGTTTTAGACGCGTGGACAGTAATGGTTTAATGTTTTCGTTCTTCTCTATTTTTTTTCCTTAAGGAATCCAAATAATCATAATATTATGATAATATCTCTTCGTCATCAATACTACATACTGTTTTACTGTGTTAGTATTTTGTATTTCTGGATTGTCCTCCTTATTCTCCTTACGTTTACGGTAGAAGTCTGTGCTCTGTGCTATATGTATATGTGTTTCTTAGAGTAAACTTGATTCGAAAAAGCAAAACAATTGTCTCTTCATCTTTTACCTACCCAAACAAAGTATGATACGGTCCATGCAAACCACACAACCTACAACCTATGGGGAGCATCATCGAACGACCAATATATTTTTCGACTTTCCTTTGATCTAAAAATCTAAGATTTTCTGAAAGCCTTCGGAGGATGAAGTCATAAGTAATCGAAATGCCCACTCAAAGTAATTGTTACAAATGTATTGCACTCGATAAAATTGAAATAAGGGAGAATTAACGTAAGAACTGAACAGAAGGTGGTTTCTTATTAACTTAAATCAAAACAAGAATGAACACGTACAAATTATCAAGATTATCTAGAACTTGCGTTCTGAATCAATCAAGGTAACGCACCGGTTCTCCGTTAAGCACAATCAATTGAAATAGTTCAACAATCGTTTACAAAAAGTTCGTTGTTCGAAGCACCCCAGGGGCAACAGGTTCACCGTTCGAGGGTGTACCCAACCTGTAGGTCACTGCGTCATAGACAGCTATTTTGGAATTCGTAATACATACAAATACAGAGTGTACGTTGAAATATGTATAGTCTCGTTGACACAATTTTGGCCATTTCGAGAGGCGGGCTGCTTCGATACAGCATCATCATGTCAGTGTCAGGGCCCATCCTGGCTAAGTGAAAAACAACACCCCAAAAGACTGGTTATGCTTCCCGGGAAGCCGAGAATGTTTCTGAGTCGTGTTCTGGTGGGGTAATGCTAATTGTAAAGCGCATAGAGAATGCCCTACAACGTAGATAAATGCGATGAAAGAACTATTATCAAATTATAATAATTAAATTCTTGATTTAAAAATTGCCCTAACTCGAGAATCGAACTCACGTCTTTTGCGAAGAGCCTAGCCCTAATGCCACAGACTGAAGATGATCATAGGGCTGCTTGGTAACCAAGAGAGAAAAAAAACCCGGTTCATCAATGTACATGTTTCACTTTCAAGAACGGCATAATTCAAGTAATTAGCTGCCGAAAGATCAACACCAATTCACAGACACACCACACACACACACACACACACACAT